GGGCTGAGAACCATACCGGCTGTTAACCAGGCTGGTAGAGACCGGTCAGGTATATAAATATTATATAGGACTAAGATCCACTATACAGACAGTTGAATGGGTTGAGAACCATCCCAACTGTTAACCAGGCTGGTAGAGACCGGTCAGGTATATAAATATTATATAGGACAGAGGTCCACTATACGGGCAGTTGAATGGGTTGAGAACCATCCCAACTGTTAACCAGGCTGGTAAATACTGGTCAGGTATATAAATATTATATAGAGCTGTGGCTCATCGGTCGGTTGCGATCGACCCCTCCGTGCTGCGAGACGGGGCAGGGTGCTGCGGGGCCGTGAAAGAGCTATACGCGCTGACCCTCATGTATGGGCATGCGATTGGTCCTGTGGCGCCAACAAAGTGTGCTATGTGATGAAGTATGGATGAGTTGTGGTTATGAGTATCGTGGGGATGGGACTATGGGATTTGTACCGGGGATCGTATATGTTGGGTTATGATTATTAATTGTGTTTATCTTATCTGTCTTGCCTGTTGTACACTGTATATGCTTGGTATAACTGCTGTCTGTGCTTAGTCCTATCTGTTGAGTCTATCCCTGTTTTAAAAGCTAGAGTTCGTAGGATATATCTTCATGTTCAAAATGGTTTTCGTATATCTATATATATATCTATATGTATTGTATTTCAACGCGTTGGTGTGGGTTACCAGCATCTCTCGCTGAACAGATATATTTGGCTTTCAGGCACAGAAGAATAAGTCACTGGAGCGCGCTAGAACTCGGAGCATAGAAGTAGATAGTTTCCCTTTCGGCCTGCGTGCCATGCTTATGCATTTACATTATTGAGGAGATTAGTTAGTTAGCCTGTGCACCTGAGTTCTCTAGCTCAGGTGTGGCATAGCACCCCGTACTCTCGTATTATGTTTTGGGATTTAATGAGATTTCACCTTTATTTTATAAGTTTTAAATGTCTTGAAAATCTGGGGTGTTACAGGAACCGATTGTGCAGGTTGAGGATGAGCAACATGGGGAGCTTGGCCTCCACCACGCGCGTATGCATCAAAGACCTGTGCCAAAAACTCCGCGAGAGTTAGCTGGGCCCCGAGCGACAGGCGGTGGGAGGTTTCTTCCCGGGGTTTCGTGAGTCGACGCGACAATACGCTCAATACGTGTTGTAGACCGGTCACCAGGGGCACGATGGCTTAGCTGCCCCCTCAGATCTCCTACGGAGGCACGGCTACCGGCGGGATGCTCTTCCGCATTCGCAATGACAGTGATATGGCCATTAACTGCCGGGGCGACAGCGTGTTCGGTGTTTCGGTTGCTGCGTCGTGTGCGAGCCATTAGCGAAGCTTAGAGACATGGACTTCTAGTTTCGATCTGGTTTTACGGCCTAGATGTAGCTGTTCAGCGGGCCAACACTACCGTAAAATACTAGTGTTTTTATGAACACAAATGAGAATGAAAATTGCCAAGAAGAATTTGACAGCGTAACAAAATTTTATTAAGTAGTCAAAAATCCGTCCCCTTACATGGTGGCCTCGTGGGGGTATTTATATAAGAGGGATAAGCTTTCTACAAGGAAAGTAGGGCCAAGATGGAGCCGAATCTGCTATGGGATCCGTTGTAATCGATGCAATAAATGCTTAAACTGAGAAAGGAAGCCGCTAGCTGGATAAGGAAGGGAATCTCCGTAGAATCCACCTCTAACTGTCTCTGGGTGTGCACTCGGTCGGGGACGCACCGACTGCGTGACGAGGTTGCCCGACTAGGGAGGCTGTGGCATTCAGGCAAGGACGCGCTGGCCGCTGAGCCTGGTCGCCCATCCAAGTCCTCATGGAGAACCCGGTCGAGGACACGCCGCCTTCTAAGCCTGGTCGCCCATCCAAAGCCCGAGAAGGGACCTGGTCGGGGACACGCTGGCTACTGAGACCGGTCGCCCATTCGAGCCCGCTGAGTGAACACGGTCGAGGACGCACCGGCTGTAGGGCCTGGCCACTTTACCTGAGCCAGCCAACTTCCGTCCGGGTACTCGCTCATCTGCTGGTCTGGTCTCCCGAGTGCTTCGCGTGGTAAGCGGGGACAGTGGATGTAGCCCTTTTCCTTGAGTTTTCCAAGTGTTATGTCGTGCTCGAACCTGACTGCCCTTTCATTCTTACTAGACCGGGTGCCCGATTTAGGGTATCTATCAGTGATGATAATTGTGGTGGTTTAGTTGTTGTGGGGGTGACAATAATAATAATCCGGAAACTAACTTATAAAAGAAATAGGGAAGAGATATGAAAAATAAAGAATTTAGAAAATATGTTCGGACTAAAAAACTAGGAAGACATTGTACTTCAAATTAATATTTTTTTTCAATCTATTTAAAATAAATATTTTTTTTACTTCATTTTTCTTGAGTACCCAAAACAACAGACGTTATGCCATGGAACCGTGTTCACCATTCATGGTGAACACGGTTCCAACGGTGTTAGTACACCGTTATCTTTTTTTTTTTTTCTTAATTAATTGTGTGACTTTTCTTCTTTATTTTCACATTTTGCGGTTTCACTTTAATTTGATGTGAACAAAGATTTCGAACATTTGTAAATTATGAATTCATGCCTGCACATTCACTTTGGAACCATGCCTACACATTCTTGTCCGAAATCACGGACATTCATAAATTATGAATCCATGCTTGCACATTCACTTTGGAACCATGCCTACACATTCACTTTGGAACCATGAGATTATGAATTTTCTGTTATAAGATTATGAATTTTCTGTTATGAGATTATGAATTTTCAGTTGTGAGATTATGAATTTTCTGTTATGCGATTATGAATTTTCTGTTATGAGATTATGAATTTTCATAAAATTCATAATCTCATAACAGAAAATTCATAATTTGATCAAACGCGCGCCGTTAACTCCACATCCGCGAATTTTTTTTTTTTTACCTAAAAACGACGTCGTTTTGCCTTGTGTTCACCATTCTCGGTGAACAGGATTCCATGGCATAATTTGCGCCCAAAACAACCCTTAGTAAATAAAAAACTCGGGACAAAATGTATTTTTGGTATTATAAGAGTTGAAAAAGTCCTTGTTATTTAAAGGACCACTGAAGCATATCCAAATTTGTGTGCGGGGAATGGTGGGGATAAAATCAATGGATCAAAGCTGGGGATTCCGGCCACATCCTTTCTCTTGGCAGCAAAAAAATAAAAATCTTCTTCAACGAGGTGATGACGTGGACGACCCCCGGTGGTAAGTTAGTTCTAGATATTTTCTCACAAAATATCCTTCCACCATGTGGCGTCCACCGCCTATCTGCCCGAGGCAAATACTTGCTATCCTTTTCTTTGCCCAAGAGCTTCCTCTATTTTACGATATTGCCACTCCACTTTATAATGTCTAAGGACAAAATATCTCAACAACTTTCTAATTTTTTTTTTTTTTAATTTCAAAATAATTAATACTCCGTATTTATAGTGATATTTTAGTCAAAGATTGTAAGTCATGTATTTTGTATACGAAAAATATTATGTCCTCTTATTTTTTACTCTTAATTTTTATTTATACATACAAAATTTTGATATAGACATTTGTATTGGGACCTACATGAAAAAATTAGCTTATTAATATCCTCCACATTAGGGAGTAATATTTGGGAGTCCATGTAGTAAAACTCATTGTATACATCAAGATAGTTTTCTAGTCCTAAAAATATTGGAGGTGTTTGGTACATAACTATTAATTGATAGTCGTTAGCTAATTGGGTTAGTAAATTTGAGTAGTTGATAGCATTAGCTGATTGTAAAAAGATGTTTGGTAAATTAGTTGTTAGCGGATAACTAATTACATGCAAAATGACCTTTGAGAGTATAATTTATTTTCTAAAAAATCTGATCAAAAAAACTAATTTGAATAGCTTTTTGAATTTTAACGTTTTGGAACAATAAGCTATTACAAAAAACTAATTAACCAAACACTCATATTAATTGTTTAACCAGGTCAAACAGCTAATAGTGATCAAACAAGTCAAAATTAGCCGATAAGTTAATTATTTTACCAAACAGGGCCATTAAAATTTATCAAATTATGGAAATTCAATAATTATAGGAAGCAAAGAAGATCAAAGTTTTCCTATTCACATTTTGAGAAGAAATCTTCAAATTTTATTATTCAATGAAATATTGTAAAAATCGCGCTAAACGTTGTACTTAAATAAAAGGAATAAGGTTCAAATTGGTCACTCAACGTAACCTGAAAATGCAATTAGGTCATTGAACGAAAAAAAAGTGCAATTAGGCCACTGAACACTCCAAATGTATGCAATTTCACCGGATAGCAGGTTACCATCAATTTTAACAGGTTACCTGCTTACGTGGCAGCTAAGTTGACATTTTAAATAATTTTTAAATAATCTTTAATAAATTTTAACAAAATAAATAAGAAAATAAAAAATAAAACGACGGGGTGGCCATGGTTTTTTTTTTTTTTGTTAATTTTTTTTTTTTAAAAATTATTATTAAAATTTATTAAAAATTATTTAAAAAAAATTATACGTATATACATACATACATACATACATATACACACACACACACATATATACTTGTCATAATAAAAAATGTTAAATAAGGGATTTACTTGCCCTCTGGACGTGTCTTGTGCGCTCAAACATACAACGAAGGGTAAAGCTCTTTCTCTTTTTTCTTTTCTCTTGGGTCTCACAACAAATCATTTCTCCTACAAATATAATTTCCTATCTCTCCTCTCTCATGTCTCATCCAAATCATCATCTTTTCACCTCTAATTCATCAAAAAAATTAAGAAAAATTTTCTAATGTAGATGGTCTTACGTGTGGGAATATATGTTGCTTGAGCACAGTGCAGCCGCGCACCCATAAAAATATCTACCCTGTAATTTAACATTTATGGCATATTCGTTATTTAGTCCTCTAGTTGGTCTCTTTTCGTGGCCTTTCCTTCAACATATCTTGTTACCAACACTTGAACACTTAACAGGAGAGAGAGAGAGAGAGAGAGAGAGAGAGAGAGAGAGAGAGAGAGATGGAAGAAAGCGAAGAAGAGGAGGAGCTTTGGAACCGAGGGAAGAGGCTGAAATTCGCTGGGAATGACAGGATGGTAGAAGACGAAGCGGAAGGGGAAAAAGAAGATAGGCAGAAACTGAGAGAGCATGGTGGTGGGTTTTTCTTATACCCGATGCTTGCCACGCCGTCTTCGATCGTCGTCTCCGACGCCTTGGATCCCGACCTACCCATCATCTACGTCAACACCGTCTTCGAAATCTCCACCGGCTATCGCGCTGACGAAATCCTCGGCCGCAATTGGTAATTCATCTCTCTCCATCATACTGAATGATTTCTCTTCTCTTTCTCCAATTCTACTCTTACTCATTTGATTCTTTCTCTGGTGTTTTTGGAGATCCGATCTTACTTTTATTACATGGTGTTCGTTTGATGCAACTTTTGATATGATGAGTAATACTATTGATGAAGGCTACTAAAATTTATACTTCTAATTCCTTGCTTTGCTAAGTGATAACTTTTACCTCGTAATACTGTTTGCATTTTTTCCCCTTTAAGATTTGTTTTTAATGCAGATTGTGTTGTATTTGGTGTAATTTGGTTTACTCTCTGAAATAACTTCAGTTCCATCATTACTTGATTTCGTCTGGTAAAGTTGTTATTTATTGTGTTATTTAAGGGCTTCATTTTATATTAACTAGTTTGAGTCTAATGGAAGAGGCATCAAATAATTTCATGAGAGAGCCATTGAGTTTCAAATTTTCCTTGAATGCTAACTGTCTAGGTTATTGATGGGTTGTAGCAAAGGATGCTGGTTGTACTTGTAGATCGACTTTTTGTCTGTTGGTAGAACTGTAGAAGATATTTGTTTGAAATGATATTTATAGGCCGAGGAAAAGCCGAAAAGGTACATACATTCTTATAGAAAGAAGGGATAGTTATGAAGAATCAGAATGCCATATTCTAGATGCCAGATGGATTGTGAATGCTAGTACTAAACACATTATACATGAAAATTTGGACAAACCTACCCTAACTCCCTGCATATCAATCTTAATGTGATGCTTTTGTAGACTCTGCCTCTGGTTTTTTTCTCCATGCTTCTATTTAGATCAAATACTTCTTCAAGTCCTTATTTTTCAACAAGTGAAGCATTTTCTTTAGGAAGTGGGAGTCTTTTACGTGCATGTAGCTGACATTGTTGATGCAATGTGGCCTACTTTTTATGCTATTTCCATTTCTATATCTGATTTGGTGAAAGATATCAAGTGACCATGAATTTTTAATTAAGTTGTATGTTCAGCACATAACACGTATGTGCTAAAGCAAGTACCCTTTGGTGCAGATTAGTCCCATATGGCACAAGTTAGAAGTACTATATTTTGAAGTCTTTCCTGGTTTATCAAGTTGTTTTCGCACCAAAGTGAGTAACTTGTGATTAGCTAGATGTAGTATTTGTGGTAATAATTATTTTAAGGTACTCCTGGCTTTAATATGGGCATATGGCTTTGAATTTGCCATTTAGTTCTTGAAACTTTGGAAAAAGAATCAAATGAGATGAAACAAAGTAAAATTCAGATAAATAACAAAAAGGGTGCAGTTGAGGAAAGAATCCTGACTATTTAGTAACTTTTTAGTCTAGGTAAATTGACTTTAAAAAAAAGATTAATTTATTTAAATATGGGGGCAAAATATACTTTCAGAGAACAAGGCATTTTCTGTAAGTTGTATACTGTAGCTATTTCGTTATAACTAGATGGTCTAATGTCTATGACCTCCCAGTCACTAAAAACTTACCAGATAAATTGAGCTTTTGGATATAATTGATCAATCCAGTGATGCTACCTTGGTAATTTTCGGAATACTATGAATTTGCCTGGTTAAGCTTTGTTTTATTGTTAAAAATGCCTTATCATTGTTCTCTGTAATACTTTAGAATCTGACCAGTGACAACTTAACTTCAGAGAAAACTTGTCAACGTGATGGATGGAGCACAGATAAGCTTTGTCTATACTGTCATTTATTCCCAAACAAATGCCGTTTTTTTTTTTTTTTGCCTTGATGCTCTGTTGCACACATCCTTTTTTGCTGACTTGATGTCCATTTTTACGCTCTTTTGAATCCTTTGCATCAGTCGGTTTTTACAATATAGAGATCCCCGGGCTCAAAGACGGCATCCTCTGGTAGATCCTGTTGTTGTTTCTGAGATCAGAAGATGTATTGAACAAGGTGTGGAGTTCCAAGGTGAGCTTCTCAACTTTAGGAAGGACGGTACCCCATTAGTGAACAAGTTAAGACTTGCACCTATACACAGTGATGATGGCACAGTTACACATATCATTGGGATTCAGATGTTTTCTGAAGCAAAAATAGATCTAAATACTGTGTCATATCCTGTTTACAAAGAAACATGCTTGCTGCAATCTGATGAAGCTACCAAATACTCGATTGATAGTGGGCAGT